GAGAGTGGCCAAGTAGTTCATGAGGTAATAGAATTCCCAAGGGTGGGAAATGGAGCCTAGGCAGGACCAATGATGGGAAGTGGCCTGGGGCCATAGGGAGGCAAGACAATAGAAGGGAGATTGGGTGTAGCCACAATGAAAGACCAGTTGATGGGACCGTAGCCTCCAGAGATTTGGCCACTGGGAAAGTACAGAGTCCATGAGGCAATAGAATTACCAAGGGTGGGAAATGTTCTGGGGCCAGAGTTTTTCCTTTCTGGGGCTCAGATTCCAACCCCATCAGGGCCAGAATTTTTCCTTTCTGGGGCTCAGATTCCAACCCCATCAGATGTAGGAGGCGGTTGGCGGGACCAGCCAACAAGAGGAGTGAATGGCATTGTGAGAGTCTGGAGGAGCTGGATTGAAATCCTGCCTAACGTGCTTATTAGCTCTCTATGACCCTGGTCTAGGAGAAGTTTGGACTCAGGAGCTTTGAAGAGCCTTCCAGCTTTAGATCTATGGTTCTGTGATCTAGCTAGGTGACCACAGGCAAACCACTTAACTAAGGCTCAGTTTCCTCATCTGTAAAATGGGGATAATAGTTACACCTACCTCCCAGGGATGTAGAGAGAATCAAATAGGCCGAGGCAACTCGCAAAACTTAAGGTGCTATAAAAATGATAGCCATCATTATTATTATTATTCATTCATTTAATAAACATTTATTAAGCACCTATTATTAGCCACTTAAATTAAATCAGGCAATTCACAGGCAGGTCAGATACTGAAGCTGAAGCTTAAACACTTTGGCCACATAAGGAGAAGATGGGGACTCATTGGGAAAGACTCTGGTGTCAGGAAAGATGAAAGCAAAAGGAAAATGGGACACAAGAGGATGGGATGGATAGAGTCGTGGAAGCGACCAACGTGAGCTCTGACAGACTTCAGGAGAGAGTGGAGGCTAGAAGGGCCCGCCATCCTACAGTCTATGAGGTCAAAAAGAGTCAGACATCACCTAATGACTCAACAGCAGCAACAATTACGTTCCAGGCATTGAGCTAAGCATTGAATATACAAAAAGAAGCAAAAGACCGTCCCTGCCCTCAAGGAGCTTACAGTCTAATGGGGGCGACAACATGCAGACCAATATTCTATATGCAAAATAAGCTATCTACAGGATAAATAGGAAAAGATGAATAGAAGGAAGGCACTGGAATTAAGAGAGGTTGTGGGAAGGCTTCCTGCAGGAGGAACGACTCGAGTCGGGACTTAAAGGAAGCCAGCGAGTTGGAAGTCAGAGCGCAGGAGAGAGAGCGTGTTCCAGGAATGGGGGGAGAAAAAGCCAGAGAAAATGCCTGGAGACATGGAAGATCTTGGTGGAGCGGTCAGGAGGCTGGTGTCACTGGATCAAAGAGGAGTGTTGAGGAATGAGGCGTAAGAAGACCTGATGCAGCCTGAGACAGAATCCCTTCTCTTGGCTGTCCTATCACACTGTTCATTTTCATCTTATCAGATTCAGCCCAAAGTCCCAGAGTAAGATCTTCAACACGCCTTCAAGTCTATCACTGGGTGCCATGTCTATGAAAGCTTTCCAGCTTGGTAGAGCCTGCCCGAGCCTTTGAGAATTCAGTGCCACCTCCAACCACGTGGGTTGAAGCCCTGGGGTGAATGGGATGTTTATTGGAATTTTTTTTTTTTTTTACTAATCAGCAAGACAAGTGCCCTTGGGAATCTAAGCCTCCCTGCATTTGCAAGTGAGCAACCCATGCTGAGTGGCACAGTGGATAGAGTGCCAGGCCTGGCGTCCAAAAGGACCTGAGTCCAAATCCAGACTCAGACACTTACTAGCTATGTGACCCTGGGCAAGGCACTTAATTCTGTTTGCGTCAGTTTCCTCACCTGCAAAATGAGCTAGAGAAGGAAATGGCAAACCACTCCAGTGTCTTTGCCAAGAAAACCCCAGAACAGGATAACAAAGAGTTGGACACAGCTGAAATGACTAAACAAGAAGACTTCCTTAAGGAAAAGGAAGAATTGAGTATTCAATCAGTTTCTCCCAGACCCCAGACTCAATCACACAGACAGGATGGCAAAGCGAGCCACCCACTTGGGACATGGTATTAGAAAGACCCTTCTGAAGGTGACAAAATGTGTGATATCTTACAGGAAAGGTGTGGGCATGGAGGGACGATTGTAGCTGTATGTACCATATAGTACGATGATGTATGGACATTCTTTTGTTTCTGCACCAAAGAGAGAGCGCTGTCCAGCAGTCGAGTAAGAGGCCACTGAAGAAGGTGCCTTCTAAGAATAAAACTGACACTGAAATGTGATCTGTGATTATTTGCATGAAGAATCAGAGGCTTGAGGCACAATAATGAGTTGTTGAAGGTCATAGGACCAGGAAGTAGGGAAGTCAGGATCATTATTTTACAGACGAGGACACTGTGATCTCCAATATGCTGGCTGTCCTTCAAACAAGGATTAGGCTTGCTCTCTTTGGCTTCAGAAGCCGTGCTAGGAGCAATAGGTGGGAGCTTCAGAGACGAAGCTTTGGTAGCCTGCGATTAGAAAAGTCTCCTGACAGTAACTGAAAGTGGAGTGGAGGGGCAGCTAGGTGGCACAGTGGATAGAGCACCAGCCCTGAAGTCAGGAGGACCTGAGTTCAAATCCGGCCTCAGACCAAACACTTAACACGTACTAGCTGTGTGACCTTGGGCAAGTCACTTAACACTGACTGCCTCACCGAAAAAAAAAAAAAAAGTGGAGTGGAAAATCTCAGGAGGTTGTGTACTCCTCCTTATGGGAAGGCTTCAGGCAAAACTGGATGACCACTTGGGAGAATGTTGCAGGTCATAGGTTGGACCAGAGGCCTCTAAGCTTGTCTTTGAACTCTGAATAGTCTTTGATGCTCTCAGATCCATTTGGATTTTGTCATCTAGTGTGTTAGTTATTTTTCCAGCTTTGTGGAATCTTGAATTTAATAAGTATGCCATTAATGAAAATGTTAAGAAATGTTAAGCATTCCATTGGAGTTGTCCTTCCAAGTTAGCATCAACCCATTAGCTACTATTTTTTGGGTCTGACCATTCCATTACTTACAAATTTACCTAACTATGATCTAATGCAGCTCTCTTGATTTTGTCTACAAGGACAAAATGGTAAACTGTCAAAAGGTTTGCCCAAATCCACAGTTGCTCCGGTCTTTAGCAGGCCAAGAAGCAATCTTTGATCATAACTGTTTGCTTAGATACATTCCCTGTCCAATTAGGTTAGCCTGAAAAGGCCACTCTACTCCTTGCTGTTTCCCTTGTGGGCATGCATATTTGTTCAGTCATTCAGTCATGTCTGGCTCTTTGTGATCCTATGGACCATAGCACACCAGGCATTTCTATCCTCTATTATCTATGATCTACTGTCTCCTAAAGTCTCTCCAAACTCACGTTGGTTGTTTCCATGATACTATCTATCCATCTTATTCTCTGCTATCCCCTTACCCTTTTGCCTTCAAACTTTTCCAACATCAGGGTCTTTCCCAATGAGTCCTGTCTTCTCATTACGTGGCCAAAATATTTAGGCTCCAACTTTAGAATTTGATCTTCTAGTGAATTTTTGTTGTTCAGTCATTTTCAATCACGCCCAACTCTTCATGACCCACTTTGGGGTTTTCTTGGCAAAGATACTGAAGTGGTTTGCCATTTCCTTTTCCAGCTCATTTTACAGGTGAAGAATTGAGGCAAACAGGGTTAAGTAACTTGCCCAGAGTCACATAGCTAATAAGAGTCTGAGGCTGGATTTGAACTCAGGAAAATGAGTCTTCCTGACTCTAGGGCCAGCACATTATATACCACCTAGCTGCCCATGCTTTCCAGTTAATAGACTGAATTAATTTCTTCAAGTATTGACTGATTTGATCTCCTTCTGTCCAAGGGACTCTCAACCGCAATTCAAAAGCATTGATTCTGTGGTGCTCAGCTTTCTTAATAGTGCAACTCTCATAGCCAGACATTGCTGCTGGAGAAATCCTAGCTTTGACTACATGGACCTTTGTTGGCAAGGTGATGTCTGCTTTCTGGTTTGCTATCCAGATTGCCACAGCTTTCCTTCCAAGGAGTTAGCGTCTTTTAATTTGATAGCTGAAGTTATCATCTGCCCCAGATCTTTGAGCCCCAGAATAATAAAATCTGACACTGCTTCCATTTCTGCCCCCTTTATTTGCCAAGAAGCTATGAGACCAGTCCTCAAGATCTTAGTTTTTTTTTTTGATGTTAAGCTTCAAGCCAGCTTTTACACACTATTTTACTCTCATCGAGTCTTCTTAATTCTTTGCTTTCTGCCATCAGAGTGGTATCATCTGCATATCTGAGATTATTGATATTTTTCCTGGCAACCTCAAGTCCAGCTTTTGATTCATTCAGCCTGGCATTCTGCACAATATACTTTGCATAAAAGTTAAATAAATAAAGTGACAACATACAGCCTTGTCATGCTCCTTTCCCAATCTTAAACCAATTAGTTGTTCCATGTTCAATTCTAACTGTTGCTTCTTGACCCTCATACAGCTTCCTCAGGAGACAAGTAAGATGATTTGGTCTCCCCGCGCCGCCCCCCCCCCCCCAAGACTTGCCACATTTTATTGTGAGGCTTTAGTGGAGTCAGTAAAGCAGAAGTAGATGTTTTTCTGGAGCTCCCTTGCTTATAAATGTTGGCAATTTGGTCCCTCTGCCTGACCTTGTGCTAATTCTCAGCTCACACATTGTTGAAGCATAGCTTGTAGAATCTTAAGCATAACCTGGCTGGCATGTGAAATGAGCACAGTTGTTTGGTAACTTGAACATTTCTTGGTATTGCCCTTTTATAGGATTTTGGGACATAAACTGATCTTTTCCAGTCCAGTGGCCGCAGTTGAGTTTTCCTAATTTGCTGGCATATTGAGTGCAGCGGTTTAACAGCCTCATCTTTTAGGATTTTAAATAGCTCGGCTGGAATTCCATCACCTCTGCTAGCCTTATTGTTAGCAATGCTTCCTAAAGCCCACTTGACTTCATTCACATCAATTCTTTGGTGCTACAGTGGTCCATGGCTCACAGTAATATGGCATCGCTGAAATTTGAAATGACTATGTGAATAAATCACACTTTTAATTGCCAATGTGTCAAACATGGTCATGTTATGGCAAACCAAATTCTGCTTGGCTCTTTTTTCTGCTTATAGCATGTTGCCTTTAATCATCTTTCTCATCTGATCTTTCTCTCCTAGATTTATTTTTAGCTCTTTTTAAGGACTCCTCTGCCTATCCCCACCAAATTTCAGTTCTCAGAGGTGCGAGATATACCAGTAGTCATTTACTTATACTCAAGACAAACTCTCCTCTATGACATAATAATAATAGTGGCTAAAGTTTCCATAGCACCTACCATGTGCCAGGCACTATACTAAGCACTTTACAACTATTACTTCATTTGAGCCTTACAATAACCTTGGGAGGTAGGTGCTGTTATTATGCCTGTTGTTGCAGATGAGGAAACTGAGGCAAAGAGAGGTTAAGTGACCTGCCCAGGATCACATAGCTAGGAAGTGTCTGCGTCTGGATTTAAAATTGAGTCTTCCTGACACCAGGTCCAGGGCTTTAACCACTGCACCACCCAGCTGCTTCATCAATATGCGTGACAATTATTACTCATCAGTAAAGAGGCTGGGGTATGGAGTTGGGGGACCTGGGTTCCGATCTCTCCTCTGCTGCTTATGACCTGTGTGGCCTCAGACAACAAGCCCCTTAACCAGTCTGGAACTGAGTTTCCTCCTCTGTATAATGAGACCTCTGAGGGGCATCTGTGGCAGCATCTTCTCCCTCTCAAAGCTCCAACTCTTGATGAGTTTTAACTTCCATCAAGCCTGCAGCTTCTACCCATTTGCCCCTAGTTCTGAACTCTGAGTCCCACTTATCCCTGTGACTTCAAAGCATCTGAAAGTTTGATAGCTGTAGGGAGAGGTG